AGTAAGATCTTTAAACAGCAAAGAAGAATGTGGGAGTAGCAACTAAAAGCAATAATAAAATACTTCCTCTTCTTCTTAGAGCACCATAAAGCTGACTCAATAAGGTCAAATGGCACATTTCAACAGGTAAGTTTAAATAAATGAGCTTTCCTTTAGGTTCACTGAGTTTCTCGTACAGCTCTGTCTTTAAGATTAAACTCAGAGTTTGAAGGAAAGATAGTTAACATTATTTTTAAAAATCACAGACATACAGTCTTTTTAATCCCATGTTCCAGAAAGGAAAAAAGAAAAGATGATGGAAGGAAAGGAAAAATACAGGGACAGAAAAAAAGATAAACAAGCAGGCACAGAAAAGGGGAAAAAAAGAAGAAGAAAAGGTCAGAAAACCAGTCTTTTTATAACCTCATCTCAAAAGTTTTGGCCTGTACTCTTTGGGTATTTTAACCATTAGAAATGCATCACTAGATGCAGACCAAACTCCAGGAAGGAAGATTACCTGACAGCATGGATACCTAGAGGCAGGGATCAATGGGAATCAAGCATACTGCTTTTTACTGAAGAGTAAGAAACAGAAAAATATGGATATAAAGCATCTGTATTTAATAGGAGCTTCATAAATAACAAATATTAGTGAACTACAGCTTCTGGCAAAGAATCTTATTTATGCCATAGATTTGTACCTCCCAAAGAAGGCTTGGTAAACCTTAAGGTACCTAACATTATCTAAAAGCATAAACTGATCATCAAGATAGCTGTGGGTGGATGTTTCTGTTAATGGGATAGAGCCTTCTAAAATGTTTACTTAACCTTATGAGAACAAGAAAAATCATAGGATAGGGGCAGGTGTTCCTAGTTGCTAGGAGAGCAAAATCCCTATAGAGATTAGTCATTTTGAAGGTAATACTTAATAGTAGCATTTATTTTTAACTATAGTATTAGTGAAAACAATCAGCTAGACAGTGTTGAGACCAGAGGCAGCGTGCAGCACTTGTATTTTACTGAAATAACATAAAAGAAGACTTCATTTGTGATGAAGGAAAATCATTCGTGAGTTGTAATTCTCCAATATTCTAAGCTTCTCCTAGGAGTTTGCTTAAATTCTGTGATCTACATATGAAACAATATGTATTCCTGTGATTGACCTGTATTGACAATACTTATCATATGTTGAGGTTATTGGTCTAATGACAGTTTCCCTGACTAAAACACACACCTCCTTTTGAGTCCAGAGTCCTTGCCTTACTTTTATTTATATCCCGCACTTCTAGCACAGTGTCTGCAAATAGGAGACACTCAAGAAATATTTGTTAAATGTTGTCGAATAACCCGTTTCTTTCCCTTTGAAAAATAATTCAGAATAAGATGTTTAGCACTCATGATCTAATAGGGCATTCTCAGTTTCAGTATATTAGGTGTGACTCAGTAACTTTTAAAAATATTAATTTAGGGGCTGGGGATTCAGCTCCGTGGTTCCGCTGCCTGCCTCACAAGCGCTAGGTCCTGAGTTTGACCCCAGATACCAAAAAAAAAAAAATTAATTCAAAGATCTCAAAATGTATCAGTCATAAAAATCTAACTTTTAAAAATTATCATTTTTGTGCTTATTCCAGAGATTTTTTTTTTTTTTTTGCCTTTTGAGTCAGGGTCTCGATATTGAACTGTGTCATCTAGGCTGGCCTCCAACAGCTAGGATTACAGGCATGTGGCGCCACCAAACCCAGCTGTAAAAATCTAATTTTTGCTGGGGATTTAGCTCAGTGGTTTCGCCTTCTGCTGCACAAGCCCAAGGACCCGAGTTCGATCCCCAGTACAAAAAAAAAAATTTAATTTTTAAAATCTTACCTGAAATAGTTTTATAGTAATTCTACAGGAAATGAATAATTATACATTAAATGAACCAATTCTTTTACATAAATTTCCTTTAAAAGCATTGGCAATTGTGGATATACCAAATAGATTTCTTTAAAGGTAGATATTGCATAAAGCATGCTGATGAGGAATTTAAAAAAGCAACAAATGTGATTTTTTTTTCCTAAAATGAGAAAAGAAGCATTCATGGGGCAGTTCTGTTTCCACTAGAATTTTGGTTTACTCCTTGTTGAGTTCCTGACTCTCCCTGTCAGTGAGTTCACACTCCTTGATTTCACTCCCCATTTGCTGGCAGGAGCTGTAGTCCAAGCTGGAACAAAGGTTTCTTCTCAGCAAAGTGGCACAGAATGGTGCATTTTAAACTGTTCCCTCCTTCCTTGTGCATATATCCCTCCTTTATCCTACCTCTTTTGTTGTTCATTAATCCTTATCTTCCCCCTATTTTCCTCATGTCTCCTCCCTTCCTTTTATCTAATCTTCCCAAGTTCTCCTCACTTTGTGCTTGTTGACCCTTATCTCCTGTTTTCTCATCACTTCCCATCCATACTCACCATCTGCTCCATTTTAAAATGCACTTTTCTTTTTAATTACTTATTCATTATTGAATCTTCTTTTCTTGCCAATCCTCTTACTCTTAGCTAGCCATGCTAATTTTTCAGTCTATACTTAAATGAGCGTATCAGCAGAGGGGAGTGTATGAGGAGGGCAGGTAGAGTGTCTTCAGTGTTTATTCCAACTTCATATCCACCCGCCCAAACCCACATTCTTTTTAAAAAGAGTCTTGCTTTGTAGTCCAGGCTGGCCCTGAACTTGCTATGTAGCCCAGGCTGGCCTCAAACTCATGATCCTCCTGCCTCAGCCTCCTAAGTGTTGGGATTACTGATGCCACCACAGTTGACTATATTTTCCCTTCAACAATTCCCAGCATCTGCTGTAAAGAAAGTTTGCCTCCTTTGCTCTCTGCCTAGCATGATGTTCTTAGTCTTTATTCTACCTCTCTCCTAAATGTCATTACTTAATTTGGTGGAGCTGAAGACAGTATACAAAGGGCATCAGAGCACTTAGCAAATAAACTGGAGTGAGAGAAATGACTTGCAATACTTATGCCCTTGGAGATGAGTCACCAGGTTAGAGTAAAAAAGCCAGGCAAGAAAAAGCAAGAGGACAAACTGAATTGGACCTGGTGCAACTCACAAGAGGCAGCTATCACATTTCAGTTACCAGTCCAGAACCAATGTAGTCCAGAGACCACCTCCACCAAGAAGGGGCCCATGGAGCATAGAAGAACAACGTATCAGTACATGGCGGTACACACTGGAGCCATACTTGGAGTATAAACAGGGAGACATTTTCTGTTTCATTACTTTAATTATTTTGTCAAAATAAACTGAGCATGTGTACATGGACTTGGTCTGTGAAAAGAGTGTTGGCATAAAAATCCCTGAAAACACTTCAAGATTGACTTGAAATGCAGTTCTTCACCAAACTAATTACCAAGGACTTGGCTTCTCTTCCTTGATATCTGGGGCATGTTATATGTGCATGCTTTATAAATATATATATATATATATATATTCAGATTCTCCCTCTCTGATGCCTAGTTTTCTGCCAGTTACTGCTCCTATATATGAACTCCAGACTGTAAAAGGTGCACACTGGCAGGAAAATTAGCTCTTAAAGCCCTAGGGTGCCAATTAGTAGAATGACAGTAAGTGGAACTAGAAGGTCCCTAGAGTTTACTTTGTCCAACCTCCTCATTTTGCACTTAAAAGTGACAGAAGCTCAAAGAGGTTGTGATTTGTGCAAGCACAGCTAGCTCTGCACTACTACTGTAACCTTAGGCAAATCCTTCACTGAGTCTGGATCTTGGCTATTCCCTCTATGCAAGGGACTAGGGAAATCACAGCTAGCATTTCTAAGTGCTTCCCATATGCCAGGCACTACACTAAGTACTTTAAGTATTTTATCTCATCCTTTCAACATCTCATAAATTATATATGTTTACCTTCAATTAAAGGTGAGACTATCAAAACACAAAAAGCTCAAATAACTTTCCCAAGATCAAATAAGTAGGAAATGTTGCAAAGCTGATCTAGGCACCTGTGAGTACCTGCCTCCAAACTTTTTAAATTTCAATCCTTAAATCCATTCTTAAAAACCTCTATCATAATACATTTAAAAAATCTATAGTTTATTTCCCGAATTCCTTACATCACCAAGAGTCCATAGCAGAGTTGGCAAACTATGGCCCATGGGCCAAATCCAGTCACCCATTTATGTATTGTCTGTGGCTGCTTTAGCACTCCAATAGCAGAGTTGAACAGTGGCAACAAAGACTGGTTGGCCTGCAGAACTTGACATATTTATTCTCTGTCCCTGTATGGAAAATGTTTCCAGAGACCTAGTCTACAGCCTTGGCAATTTAGAGCATCTTGTAATGGCATAACACTTTACAATATACAAAGCACCTTGGCATACACCATCACACTTAATCCTGGTTTTTTAGGGACACTCATGCATTATAAAGAAGGAAGCTAAAACTCAAGAGAGTTTAAATCCAATTCGTGTAATTAAGGCCACAGGAGCATAATGTGGTAGAGCCACATACTCAGGTTGTGACTCCAAACTGCTAGCTTTTTTCATGCAGCCACCTTGTCTCCTCTGCTGCCTTCCTTTTACTGTCAGGGAAGGTTTGGAAACTAGAAAGAATCTATGAATACTGCAAGCAAGTTGGACTGTCAAGTGCACTTATGTAATAAGTCATCCAGTACTAAAAATAGTAACTTAAATTTGTAATAAATCTGAAAAAAAGTTTATGTTTTAAAAGAGGGCATGACAATTATAGAATATGCATTTTTAAATATAAATGATACACTCATATCTTATGCAATAGATACAATTCTATCTTGTGCTAAATAGTTAACAAATAATGGTTAGATTTAAATGGACTTAATACTAAAAGAACATCGGCAATAGATATGAATTTTACAATATAGATTTACCAAGACCACAAAAAATTTTTTCAAAGAAGGTATAGATGCTTCTTCCTACTCTGCAAATTCAAAAGAAATCTAAATAGTAATTATTATTCTTGAAATATGGCTTTAAGGACTTATTTGAAATACACAATATGAGGCATCTTCGTTTTTATTTCAGATTTATTTTGTAACATACCTTGAGATTTCATTTCTGACATAAAATTTGGTATGAGGGCACCGTGAAATCACTGCAAGAAGGAATATATATTGTACTTGTAATAAACATTTGATCTGATATATATATCATACATATGAAAGTATAGGATATATCATGGAGTATGATATACATTATGTAATGTGATGAAATACATCATACATATAGAGGTATAGATATTCAGATGGGTACCCACTGTTAGGCATCTTTGCTTATTTTCTGAAATGAGAGAATCCAAGCATCTGGTTTTAAGTGAGCTTTTCAAGTATGTGTACAACTAATGTGCATACAGGTAAAATTTGCTTTCTATGACTCAGCCAATTGTATTAATCAAATACGAATTACTTTTTTATAAAACTGTATAAAACTAATTAATCTTGAACCCTGGTCATAAGTTCCTTTTGATTAATACTATTCACTGAGGGTCCTTATTTTGACAGAGAACTCTGATTATTTGAGGCTTTAAATCAAATGGCTTTTAATCACTGATTTATGGTCTGTAGCACTGAGAATGCCACTGTAATCAAATGGGTTGTGCCAACTGTTTTATCAAAGTCACTATTCACTTTTGGCAGTGATGGATTTTAAGAGCCCTAAAGAGAAGAATGTTGCCTGATACATTTTTTTTTATCTTCCCCAAGGCCTTAAGCCCAGTGTTTAGCAATGTGTAGTCACCCGCTAACACCTGCTGAATATGCTGGTCACTCAACAACCTATAAAGACAATGAGTGTATTTCCTAGCTTGATCCTGCAGCACAGTCTCAAGGATGTTAGAAATGTGAGGGTCTGCTCTTCAACTCTACAGACTAGCAAGGAAAACTCCTGGACCCAAATGAGGCCTGCAGAGTTTCCCTTTAACAAAAGAGTAAGCTAATTGTAGGCACTAGTTTTAGTTCCACTCCCTAGGATCTAAAGACTTAACTAAAAACTGACAGAAACAAAAACTATCCTTAATGGACACCATGAAACTTTTTTCCTTTTGCATGGCTCCATAATGCAGTACCATCTCTGTCACTGTTCTGCACAGGTAATGCCAGCACCTCTGAAGGGCTGACATTCCAGTTGAAATTTTGGGTCCAATAAGACATGAAATAAATAATTTTGTAGAAAGTGACACTGGCTCTCTTCCGTTTGTAAACACAGGCTGCTTTGCTGGGAAGAGGGGGAGAAGAAGGTTGCTTGTGCTTTATTTTCACATTTATACTTTTCATGTTTTAAAAATCCAGTTTATAGGAAAATATAAAGACAGAAGAAATAAATTAGATGATTATTCACATTGTAAAGAGATTTTCCACAGGGTTCCATTAAAAAATACTGAACTCCCTTAGGGCACTGAATTTAGGATGTGATTTAGATGCAGCTTTTCAGGAATACATTTCTTGTATAAAGTGAGGTACACCCATATATTCATCTTAATTCTCCTCCAAGGACAATCCAGCACTTGTTCCCATTCAAAGGGAAAGAACAAACAGTCCTTATTAAGGAAGTCAGTGGCTTCATAAACTGTACTCCTCACCTTTCCCAAGAGCAGAGGCTTTGAGGAATCCAACCAACAAAGAAAAACACCCAGGGCTGGAGATTTAGCTCAGTGGTGCTGCCACCTGCCTTGCAAGAGCAAGGACCTGAGTTTGATCCCCGGTACCAAAAAAATAAAAAGACCCACATGGGGACACAGTCCTTCCACTATCTCACACCAACGCTCTTTCTAAACGCCAGGGGTCTGCTTCACCTTGGTTCAAGCAAATATGAGTCGAGGAGCAGCATGTACGAGATTCAGAGTCTACATAGGCTACAAATATGGCCTGTGGTAGAGGAGGAAATTCAAAGAAAGCTTCTTCCCAAAGACTTTTTGTACAGATCTATACTGGGTAAGGAAAGGCTCCTAGACGCCCACCTACAACAGAGGGGGCACAACTGCTAGTTGTTTGAAAGACCAAGAGCATCAAGGATCCTTTCGCTAATTAATATTAATTGGTAAATCACCCTAATCCCAGAGAGCAAAAATAGGCGATTGGGGAACTTAGTCCCACAAATTGGAGGCAGTCAAGGAGAATATCCAGTAGAGGATCAAAATGGTCACATTCTAGGTGGCTTCACCGCTCAAACCAGCTGGCCAAGTTGCGAATGCTCTTGGGCTGGTCCCCAGCAGTCTGCACTGCCTGGCAGGCCCTGCACCAAGGCTCGTCCCAGAAGGAGGTGATGTGCACCGCGTACCTCCGGCGCCAGTGGAAGTAGCGGCGGTAGACTGCCAGGTTTCGGTCGAGGAAAAGCAGGTAGGCAGCGAGGGAAGAGGCACTAGGGAAGTCGTCCACGTGGATGAAGGAGTCACGGGGCACAAAGCGCTCGTAGTTGGCACGGTTTGGGCCTAGAACCACCGGCACCGCCCCAGCCAGCAACGAGTTGCGCCAGAGCTTTTCAGTAATATAATCCAGGTGCTGAGAGTTCTCGAAAGCCAGGTAGAACTTGTAGCGGGCCACGGTGTGCAGAAGCCCGCTGTCGGGCACCGGCCGCCCAGGCCCGCCCCGGCCGAACACGTCGACCGGCAGGTGCTGGCTCAGCTGGTGGTAGTAGCGGACCCTGGCCTGGCGCTCATCCCAGTGGCTCACCACCCAGGCCACCAGTCCTCGTTTCCGGGGCAGCGGCGGGACCAGGCCCATGGGCTGGTCGCCTGAGTGTCTCCTGGGATAAAGGTAGCCGTAGGGCACGAAGATATCAGAGTCGGCCCGGTATGAGAGCGTCCAGTTGAAGAGGTTCCCAGTCAGGGCCCGCAGCCCCGGAGAATGAGAGGGTGACTCGAAGTTCATCCACACCCAGCGCTGGCCCGGGGGCCTGGGGCCGGAGATCGCCGCCTCCTCCGGGTCGTCTAACACGCGCAGCTGCAGCTCCTCCGCCCGGCGCACCTGGGCACCCCAAGGCGGGGGCCAGTCGGGGGGTCCCCACACCAGGTCGCGGTGGTGGAAAAGCACCGCTTGAGCCTCTCCGTAGGCCGCGCGGTCGGTAAGCAGGCGGCACCCGCTAATATTGAAGCGCAGCCAGCAGTCGGGGGGCGGCCTCAAGGCCCGGCCGCGACCCCCGAAGGGCTCCCACCACAGCAGCACACCCACCGGCCGGCGCGGAGGGGCCGAGGGCGCCCAGGGAAGCGGCGGCAGCTGTCCCCAGCAGACGTAGGCAGCCAGCGCCGTGCACATGAGCCCAGCGGCAGCCAGCGCCGAGGCGTTCCGGGGCAGCCCCCGGCCTCTGAGCCACCCGCCGGCCAAGAGTCTCCACTGCCTCCCCATGGAGCGCGCGGGCACAGCCGCAGCCGCTCGCAGAGCGTCTGCGGGCGGGGAAAGGCGGCTTCGGCTCTCATGCTGTCTGGGAGGCTCGGGCCGGCTCGGCCGGTCGCCGCTGGCCGGGGAGCGGGAGGGGGCGGTCCCGGAATCCACAGGCGCTCCGGCCCGGCTCCCCTCCTCCGGAGCCCCGGGCGGAGCTCGCCGCCAGGGCGAGGTGAGAGGGCCGGACAGCCCACCCGGGCACCGCCCTGTCCCTCCCCTCCACAGTGCCCCCAGCCCTGCGGGCCTGGCCCCGAGCGTTTCCTGCTGCGCCTCCGCCCATTCCCCACCGCATCCAGTGCTCCGGGGCTCCTCGACTGCGCCCCACAGGCGCCTCATCCACTACTTGAGAACCCTCCTCTGAGGACCCCAAGCCTCTCCGCACACCCACCGTCCTGGCCTTGGTCCTGGACCTCCCTCTCCTCGGCGGTCTGGCTCTTGCTCTTGGAACCCTTGGATTCCAGAGTTAGGGCCCGGTCCGTTCCTGGGCACGTGCGGGGGCTTGAGACCCTCCAAGGGTCTCTTGAGACCCACGCAGGCATGGACAGAAAGCGTTCCAGGGACCGGTCGGAGCAGCTCAGCGGGACTGCAGATCGGATTCTTCTTCCTTCCGCAGGCCCGGATACCAGCCCGCGACGCCCGCCGGAGGGAGGGAGGAAAGAGGGGAGGGAGCCCTAGAGGCCGCTGGAAAGCGAGGGCAGAAGTGCAGCCCTTGCGTGGTGGTCCTGACCACGTGGTCTGCGGAAACCTGCGGGCCTTGCAGTCAGCCCTTGCAGCTGGGCCCGCAGAGGTTATGCATTGAGTGAAACTAAGTTTTCAATGAGACTAGCCATAAGGGCAATTCCCTTTGCCTATACTGGACCTGCAGCAGAAGGTAGAGACCAACAGAATGTTATCAGAGTAATCCAAACCTGAGCAACCCGTTCTTTCCTATACTCTACATCCAATTTCTGACTGCTGATAAGTCTTGTTCTTAATCCTGAGGATTTACTCACAAACCAAATTTAAAATACCTCCCCCAAGGCCACTATCTTTAAGGAACTTACTGCCTATTCCCTGAGATGAGTGAATGAACATCCCTATTAATTTTACTAAGTTCTCAAGAAACAATTTCTGTACTCATGAAGGTTATGCAAAATACTTGAAACTGTAAAATATTGACAAGATAAACATCATTGCATCAAAATTTAGTTTACCCTTTACCCTGTGGCTGTGTTACAGTGGCCTTTTCAGGTTTGTCAAAGAGGCAGCAATCAGGTGATTAAATCTACAATCACATGTTGTTACTCACCTTCCATTGCACATAATTCTAAATAGGCCTAGGGCAGGGCTACTGACCTAAGGAGCAGAGAAAGTTTTGAGAAAAATCTGAGTAGATCACAGTTCTGCATCCTGGAATTGCTGCCTAGAGTGTGATATAAATTACAGATGTTGGGGAAGAAACAGCTGGGAAGGGAACCTGCCAAGTGTTTTTGACCTAATTGATACAGAAAATAAACTTAGGTTTACCATTTGGATTTATTTATATTTGTTTTATTTTTAAATTTCTAACATACATAAAAATTGCACATATATAGGAGGTGCTGTGTTATGTTTTGATACATGTGTATATAGTATGTAATGTTCAGATCAGGGTAAACACATCAATCACCTCAAACATCACTTCTTTATGGGGAAGGCATTCAGAATATTTTCTTCTAACACGCACACACACACACATATGTATGTATATATATATATATATATATATATATATATACCATCAGGATTTATTATCAAGGACATTTTTATTAACAATCAAAAACAGAGTGTAAATACTTCTGTACAAGTTGTTTTGGGTGGCTCTGCCTACCAACCCTCAGAAGCAAATTGAGTGCTCTGGTTGTGCCCATCAACTATTAACTTTTTCTCCTGCACAGAAAATCCTTTATAATGTCTCTGTTTTGTTTTGTTTTGATTTGACAAATAGAAATTTAGATTTTTAAATTAAAAGCTAGATATTTCAGGGCCGAGGATTTAGCTCAGTGGTGCCGCTGCCTGCCTCGCAAGGGCAAGGTCCTGAGTTCCATCATCAATACTAAAAATAAAAAATAAAGAAAAAAAAAGCTAGATATTTCAGAGAGTTTCCACTCTGCTATTTTTAATTTTTTAAAAAAGCTATAAATACAAAAATAACTTGTTTCAACCAAAAAGAAAGAAAGAAAGAAAGAGTGTATTGGCTTTCCCTTTATGCAATTCAAAAAATCTGTACATTTATGCACATATTCCTCTCCTACCTCAGTTAAATAAGTCATCAAAGCTAAAGCCTAAGATTGTGTATGCGCATGGTAGATAGGCATTTGGTGTATGTTAACCTGCTCTTTTGCCTGCTTTCTTTCCCCACTCCTAATTTTCCCTTAAATCCTCCACATGTTCAGCAAAATCAACTTTTACCTGGAAAATGCTTTAGATCTCATGAATATCAATTCCCATTGTGCCCACTTATCTTGTTATGGATCAGGACCACAAACTGCCCCTACATAAGTCTCATCTCCGTGTCAGGCCAGGAGGAACTGGGGAGAAGAGTGTGCCTGGATCACTGGAAACCAGTCACAGTTTCTTCACTAAGTGCTGACTGACGGTCCTACTTAGTGATTTACTCACTAAGCAATGGATGAATCTTTTTGAAAGAGAGTCAAGGATGGGGAGAAAGAGGAGGAAAAGAGTGCTGGTGAAGCAATGATCCCAGGTGTTCTCATTTATCCACTGAACAAATTGGGAAACTGAGATAACAATTATTTCGACTTTCAAAAATCTATGAAAAGGGGCCAGGGATTTAGCTCAGTGGCACTGTCCCTGCCTTGTAAGCACAAAGTCCTTAGTTTGATCCCTGGCACCAAAAAAAAAAAAAGAAGAAATCTAGGGGGAAAAAAAAGACAGTGAGAAGGGAAGGAATCATGGAAGACTAAGAAGATAGCCTCTGAAGTAATTAGGAATAATTAAAATGGGAGAGGAAGAAAGCTGAGTGCTCATCTACACAGACGGAGCAGCACTGCAAAGGCTAGGACGGTAGGTTAGGACTTACTAGGGTACAGTTTGGCTAAGGAGTTGGAATTTTATTCTAAAAGTTGTAGAGTGTCCTTGGAAGGTTTAGTAAAGCAAGAGGGCAATATGATGAGGTCCATCTTTTTAAATAAAGGATTTTTATCATGTGAGGTGGTGCTATACTGGGGACAGGGGGAGGGCTTCTGACATTTCTGTCATATTTATTAAGGTAGGCACTGGTTAATGGGTGTGATTTGCTAAGGAGATTCATCAAGCTATATGCTTATATGTGTGCTTTTCTATATATTATACATACTTCTGTAAAAAATTTCTAAGAAAAAATCATGCCGTCATCAGTAAAGGGTAAGTTGGGTAAAACCAGGGTAAGACTGGGGGTATTTAGTTCAGTTGGAAAACAATTGCTATAATTCAGATGTGAAATGAAAAGGAGCTTGAACTATGATGGTAGCTGTGAGGATGAGGAAGTAAATTGAAGAAGAATAAATTCAGAGGTATGTAGAAAGGCCAATACCTTCCTTTAAGACACCTTTCTGGACACCCACATACACACATCCAGGGTAGTTTACATGGCCACCCTGAGTGCTTCCAAATATATACACTTTTCAGAATAGCATGGGTCAAGAATTGTAACTCTTTCATTCATGACTTCATCCATAGCACTGAACAAGGCATCTAATAGTAGTATTCATCATCTCACTGAATACTCACTGAATAAATGAATGCTCTTAAGGTATTATAGAAATTATCTGTCAGTATCTGTTCCTCTCTAGAAGGTGGGTAGGTATAAAGAGATCTTGGCTATATAAATTACTTGCTGTGAATTTAAGATTCCCCACAACTTTCAGGCATTGTGGGGGCACATCTGTAATCCTAGCACTTGTTAGGCAGAGATAGGAGGATTATAAATTCAAGGCCAGGCTAGTCTGTCTGGGAAGTTTGAGGCCAGCCTATACTACATGGTGAGACTCTGTCTCAAAAAAAAAAAAAAAGTTACAATAGAACTCTTGTGGTAATCATTAGAGTATTCATCAAAGTTGGTTGTTCTTTGGGGCCCAACCTGGAGCAGGAGCTCATTCTTCATGCAATCACTATGGTCCAGGAATGTGGCCTCTTTTTAGATGTTCCTCTGGAGCTAGGGGTAGAATCAGCCCCATCTAATCCTCAAGGAACAAAAATGGAAAGAAGGTAATCCTGCAAAGGAAAAAGTGAAGTGTTGCTGTTTAAAGAAGAGGGAAGGGAGCGGGATAGGCAACAATATATCTATTACCCATACACAAGGAATAATCACTATTTTTCAAATGAAGAGGCTGGACTAAATGAACTCTGAATCACTTTAGAAATTTAAACATTCCATGATTCATTCTAATTTAATATCAGTAAATGATTTGTGTGTTTAAAGTCCCCTCAGTTTCTGAAAGACATTGCACAAAATAACTGGCTTTCAGTTGCAAGCATAAAGCAAGGGCAGATATAAAGAAGGGCTTTTGCATCCTGAGGGTTGCTCCAGTAGTGCAAAAGCTCCATAACTCAAGGCTCAATTTGTCAAGAAGAATAAATAATTCACAATGTGCCAGGGTGACCCACTCAGTATCAAACTTTTACATAGGACGGAATTTTGTGGGCACAAGAACCAAGCCAACTCTGGTACCTAAAATTCAACCTCACTCTTTGTTCTTCCCCGGGGAAACAGCTCATTTGCTACCATACTGAGTTAATTTTAAGCCTATTCTAGTCTACCCACCAGAGAGAGAGCTGGTATATTCTGATTGCCTCAGTTTCTAGCCAGAACAAATCTGTCAGCTTGAGCACTGTCCCTCCAAGGGGGTTGCCATTTTTAGTTGGATCTGAAATTTCTGTGACTGAACGCTGACCTGCTAAGTATATTTTCAAATTTTCCCCTTTAGGAAAAGTTAAAGGCAGTTCAAAGTCCCTCTGTTATTATGTACTTAGTAAGAAATGTTGAGAAGCCAGTGAACAGGTGTGGTTCGAAAAGCAAATAGGTAGGGATTGTCTCCTTTGTCAGGCACAATTTTTTAACTGTATACTTGGGCAAATAAATATGGTAAAAACAGTTAAAAATTATTAGAAATTGTGTAAGATAACAGCAATCCACAATTTATTGTTCAAGCCCTTCTTAAATCCTTAATGCAAAAAAGAAAACTCTAACACAAATTTATAAGCTTTTCTTTTTTGTACTCAAGTGAAATAATTGACTGGCCCTAAAAGAAATCATAATTAGTCAATACAAGAACTCACTATATTTACTTTAGGGTTTTAAACTTTATGTGCTCATGTTCTTCCTGTACATTTACTTGACTAAACAGACAATTCAAGAACTTGAATGTTCA